TTTGGAAAATTCCCCTAAATTAAAACTAATACTTTTTGTTAATTTACAATCATGTTTTTGGTAAATAAATTAAAACAACTATTTTATTTACTTTATATGGTATATAACTAATCGTTATTGATATTTACATATATATATAATATATTTTAATATATATTTATTCTTGATACTTCTTACTAATATAATTTAATTAATATTTGTGTATTTTGCTCTAAATTTTTTTTTTAATAAATCACAAAAAAGTAATGTGAGATTGTTTTAATAAGAATTTCAAAATTAAAATATTAAGATCTCAATAAATTTTCACTGCAAATTTTGAAATTCACATATTTATATATTTGATATAGTATATAATTTAATTTAAATGATATATATATATATATATATATATATAATATGAATATCTATGAATGAAATTTCATATTCATAAGATTTATAATAATTTTTATCTTGCTTGAACAAAAAGAAGTTAAACCATTGATCAAAATTTTCAAAATGGCGTTTTCACCATTTCTAGTAATTTAAAGTCGTTTAAAAAAATTCTAAACTAGATTTTGACCCGCGCGCCCGCGCGGGTGTTTTTTTATAATTAAATAAACATTTAAAACACACAAAAACTTAATGATTTTATATAATAGTTTCATATAATGGATTCATTTGTTAGATTTTAGTTTATAATTCATAGCATAAATTACTTTCATGTTTCTGTATTCTGTTATATATATATATATATATATATATACATATATATTTGTGAGTTGTTATATATTTCTCTTATTGTATGAGTTTTAAAAGTTGAAGCTACCGTTTGAGCAGATGGGTATCCAATATGTAAGTCAATCTGATTTTTTAATTGAAAATTTAAATTCAATTTTAAATTATACTTAAACACTTATTAATTTTAATGTTATTGTATTTTGAATTTTTATTTTATTTTATAATTATATAAACATTTAAAACACACAAAAACTTAATGATTTTATATAACAATTTCATATAATGGGTTCATTTGTTAGAGTCTAGTTTATAATTCATAGATAAATTACTTTCATGTTTTTGTATTGTGTTATATATATATATATATATATATATATATATATATATATATATATATATATATATATATCTATTTATATATTTGTGAACTGTTATATATTTATTTTATTGTATGAGTGTTAAAAGTCGAAGCTACCGTTTGAACAGATAGGTAACCAATATGTAAGTCAATCTGACTTTTTTTTTTTAAATTTAAAATTTACATTATATTTAAACACTTATTAATTTTAATTTTATTGTATATTGAGTTGTATGCTGTAACTCCAAATTATTACAAAAATGATTTAAATCATCTATTATATATTTTTATAAAGAAAATGGATTTTAAAACTTTATCATGTTTTTAACCTTGATTTTTATTTTATTTGAATACTAATATCTATAAATATACATGTAATACGTATAAACTATGCATTTTTCTATAATTATATTATTTAACAGACCATCGAAATTCTTCTTTATGGGATGGCATAAACAAACTTACAGCAGCCCAAGAAAATAATAATTAAACATTAATCAAAACTACTGTGTTTTAACTTCAGTGGCATAAAGTTGTAATTTTTGTGAAAAACTAAGGGGTATATAATATTTGTACTTCCCCTTTAATAGTTTAGATATAATATATAAGAAAAATTCTAAAAATTCTGAGAATTAGCCTTTTGATAACACGTGGCTACGAAAATATGTTGTAATACTCCGAGATTAATATATAGGGGATCTCCCAAGCTATCAAAATCCAATCTCAAAAGTATCTTAGTCTAATAGGGGATCTCCCAAGCTATCACAATCCAATCTCAAAAGTAACTTAGTCTAAAAGTGGCTGAGAAAAATATATATGTCAAAACACGTCATGTTTTAGTTTCTAAGAGAATACTATACCAAAAATTAAGGAACCCAAAATTTTATATTCCCACTATTTGAACAAACTAGAGATTGATCAATCTGAAACAAATATTGATCAATCTGAAAAAGAGATCCCTAAAGCTAATCAATTAATCCTAAGCTAATTGGGCGGTTCTCAGCATTTCAATCAACCTCTGAAAATATTATGCAGATCTTTTGTTTAAATAGAGTCGATTGATCTAATGTGGATCAATCGATCTTCGCCAAAATGGTCCGTGCTCTGTTTCTTATTTTGTGTACCAAAAATTCCATCCAAATGCGTTTTAATCTGAAAATATTGAAAACACCAAAAAAAACTCAAAAACACTAATAAACCAAGGTTCAAATGCGCTGAAAACATAATACATCAGCAAGCATGAACTCACCCACAAAATTTTAAAATCTAAAATAGGGGTGGTCAAAAATTTGAACACAACCGGGGATTCTAGCTCAAGTGGTAAAGGGTTTACAGCTGTGAGTACCGTCACTTGGGTTCGAATCCCAGTCACTGGGGAATTAACATTTCGACATCGCCAGGGACAGAGGACCGACACGTGGCAACACATGACTAGTCTGGATCGCTTCTGTGAGGCCAAGATACCTCTGTATAATTCAAAAAAAAAAATTTGAACACGAAGAATCAAACTGAATTCGGCCTAAAAATAGTACTGAACCCGAACCGAAAATAGATAAATATCTAAACAGATTCAACCTTTTGATAACAAAATAACCGAAACTGAATCAGATCAAAATATTTCGGATATCCGAATGATTTATGTGCTTGAATATATTTCTACTTTCAGAAGTAATATCCAAAAAAAAAAATCCAAAATGTATTTAGATATTTTGAAGTTATCCCAAATATTTGAAAGCATATACAAATAGTCAAACATAAATATCTAAAATGGTTAAATAATACTCAAATTACCAAAAATACTTAGAATATCTAATGATTCTCCATCAAAATATTCAAGTCCAACCAATTTTCATGTTAAATTTAGGTCTTTAGACATACATTACTCAAATTTATATGTTATATATTATTTTATTTTTAGATTTGAGAAATCTAAAGTATATATGCATTCAACTTTTTTTATAAAAAAAAAATAAATGCGTTATCCGAACGCAAACCGAATCTGCAAAAATCCAAACCAAAATTTATAAATATCCAAATGAAACTAAAATCTTTAACCCTGAAAACCTAAAACCCGAATAGATCTGAACCAAATGAGTTTTCAAATGCCCACCCCAAAAATTTAAAGAATCCCCAATATATTAATCGAAGATCTTTTAAAAATATGTAACTTCAGTTTTGTATTAATTAAATTTTGGATTTGGTGAGGTGTCAATCTAATAAGTCTTTTTGTTGCTGATGTGGCATCATTAGAAAAAAAGTTTAGACAAAACTTAGTCTAAAATTATTAACCTCTTATGAAATGCATACGGCCAAATTAATTAAGGGCATCTTCAACAAGAATCTAACCTTAACTTTATCTTCAAAAATTTATGTAATTTTTATTTTAGTCCTAAACGTTAATATAGTTTAATTATAGTCATTAAAATTAATACAGATAAATAATACATACATATTAAAAATATTAAACATAATAGTTATAAATACAAGTTATTATAACAAAAAAACACATTAAATAATAAGAAAACAAACATTAATTCGCAAAATATATAAAAATACTAATTACTCAACATGGTTGTTTCCATAATTCTTCCATATCAATCAACACATTTCAAAGTTAAAAATGAGTCTCCTGATTTTTATTATTCATTAACATATTTCTATTAATAATATATATAATTTGTATATTTAATAATTTAGATGAGGTATATTTTATAACGATTAAAGTGGTAAAAAAAATAATATTAGTACAATTATATTAACTACAAGGATTAAACTGAAAAGTAAATAGTGAAGGTCCTTTTTTTTAATACTAGTTAATTATGTATTACAAACTATGAGAAATATTACATAGAATATATTACAGCCGATAATTCTACATGTCTTATGTGGATTCACGTCTGACTGACGGTATTCAGTGCGCCATGCTAAAGATCTCTTGTAAGTTTTCTCTCTGATAATCTGCATAATTCACCATTCACCTTCTCCGTGAACTGAAACATTCTTGATGTAGAAACTATGTATCCTGACATTCGAACCCCAAACCTGGTATAAAAACCTTTAAATCTTAATCACTAGGTTACGATGCTTCTACTGTTCAAATCCTCCGAATTTGATAATCTAACAATCTATTAGAAAGCAATAACCCTCAAAACCTAAGGGTTTGAAGGCCTCCTGGAAATGTCCTAAGAGTAAAATTTTGCTCAAAACTGAACACATGCAAACGAAAGTTTAGCAAAACACACGTAGAAAACAATGAGTAAGGTTCTTAAATAAAAAGGTTTTTCAGCATAATGCATAGAAAGTTGTTTTTTATGTGTTCTAGGTTCTTTAGCTTTCAAACTTTTCTTTCAAATTCTGAACTTACACCGTACATTAATGAAGAACAATTTCCAAAAAGTCTTAACCAAATCATAGAATGACTTAGCAGGCGAATGTGATCTTTTTTTTTTTGCCTAATAAAATAATATATTGTGAGAAGGACATTTTGAAAAGGACGCTCTCTTCTCTCTCCTCCTTATCCCCTCGTCAACGACTTTTGGTGTTTGGTAAGCCTCCGGCCCGTGGCGGCGCGTACCAGCGTTCGGAGGGCGCTCCCTCTAGTGTAGCTTTTTCCGTTTTGCTGCAGCCGTTTATTCAATTTTTCTCCCCTCCGATATGCGTGGCGTCGTGGGATAGGGTTTGACGCCGGAAGTGCTCCGCTGCAGAGGTGTTTCTTCTCCGGTGGTCTCTCTCTTTCTCTGTGGCTTCGGCGAGGAGGACGAGTGGCTGGTGGAGGCTTCAGTCGGCTTTTTGGGTTGTGGATCGAGATCGATTTTCAATCTAGATCTCGCCTAGTTTCTCTCCGTCTTCGAGTGGGAGGGACGGCGTGGCTACTCTGGGTCGTCGTGGTTCGCTGCTTCTGGTCCAGAGAGTCATTCGGCTTGGGATGGAGTTCTCGGCTCTCAGATTCGTCGAGCTCGGGTTCTCTTCCTCTTGGCGTGGTGTGTGCCGGTGGATCCTTCTACCACGGCGGCGGGTTGTGGGTTTGAGCATGCAGTCGGGTTGGTGCTCGAGCCCAGTGGCTGGCTCGCGTAAGGTCTTTTATACGGTTTAAAGAGTGGTTGTCTATGCCGCTTCAGTGGCCGCATGACTTTCCTCCTCACCTACGGACCTCCTATTCGCGGTTCATGAACTGTTTCTCTGATTTGTTACTCTCCGGAGTCGGCAGCTCTTGTTGGTTTTTCGAAGTCGGGAGTTTTGATTGGGATTTGCGCTTCTTCTTCATTCCCTCCTTGTTGAGACAAGTGATGGCTCTAACAGCTCCAATTTCAGTTCGTCTGTTCTCGGCGGCTACGGACGTGTGGTGGTTCTCGTGTCTTTGACAGTCACATTTAGCGTTTGGTCTTTGCTCACATCCCAGCACTACATAGGTTTATTTGAGATTCTTGTGGTGGTGTGTGTGGCAATTGTGTGTAGGATGGGCTCAGTTTGTGGAGTATGGTGGTTGCGACCCGTTTTACTCGGTTCGGCATCTTGTACAGGTTGATTCCGGGATAAATAAATGCTTTGTTAGGTTGTTGAAGGTGTGTTAGGTCGCTGCTGTTGCTGTTTGTTTGTCCGGGCAAGTGCTTTGAAGCTCTCGGCGAGCTGTTCTCAAGGGGGCCATTATTTTTTAAGAGTGAATTCATCGGGGAGGCCAAAATTACCGGGTTCTGACTCTCTCGGTTGAACTTGGTTCTTCTTTTTGCGGCAAGCTGTTGGTGTGGACTTAGTCGAGCCTCGGGACTGCGGTTGTGGTTGTTGTGTCTGTCTTACCTTTAATAACTCGATTAAGTTGGTGTTTAGGTTTTATATTTTGTTTCTGCTTCGAGTTCTCCTTTGTATTTCTGTCAAAAACAAAAACTTGGTAATAATATCTTTACATTTTACCAAAAAAAAACATAATACATTGTGTACAATCAGTCTAAATTCTTTATAAAACCGAGTAGTAAACGATGAACGTTGTAATATATCGAAGCAGTGGATCACTGATTGTATAATATCTGAGTAGTAAAAAATGAAATATATTTCATAACAATATCAGAGGAAAATATAATTAATATTCGGTTTATACATTGTTGATGTTGGTTAAGAGGCATTTAAATTTCAATTTAACTGAACCATAATCAATCAAACAATTTCAAAATATTAATTTTACAATGAAACACAAATATTCTATAACCGTGTTACACATATAGAACTAGGGAGCTTTTTGTAAGTATATATTATGTGTTTATCTATTAAAATAAATAAATACACAAAGCTTCATCAACTAACTATTATATACAGTGCCGGTCCGGCCGTCCATGGCGCCTAAAGCGAACTCTAAATTTGTTGCCCCTTAACTATTTTTTTTATCACATATATAAATATAATCATATAATGCAAATTATTATTTTTGGTCTCAAAAAATAAAAGTACAAAAAAATAATACATTATTCATGAAAGATAACTCTCCTTGCTTTTTTTCCTGCAAAATCATTTATCAACTTCGAATAATCAAGTTTTTCCGCTAACTCATGCTCAATAGATATCATCGACAGTCCATTTAAACGCTCCTGAGACATAGTCGAACGTAGATAATTCTTGATGAGCTTCAGCTTTGAGAAACTTCTTTCTGCAGAAGCAACTGAAATTGGAATTGTTAGTAATATACGATAAGCAATTTCTGTGTTTGGATAACAGCCATCCATTCTTTTTAAAAATTCCAACATCTCGATCGCCTTTGTAATTTCCTTTGGCAACATTCCTCTTAGATATTGGAGTTCCATAAACAGATGTTTTCCATCTACATCAAAATGTCCATCATGCTCTAGAGAAGCTTCAAGCTTGACACAAGATGTCATCAACACATCATCTTTTGCTGACTTTAGCCTTTTCAAACCAAACAAAAACCCAAAAAGTTCGTCATAGCGCTGAAATTGCTCGAATCTAATCTCAAGTGACATTATACTTGATCCACTATGTTGATAAAATAATCAATCCTAAAACTCTCTTCTGCGTTTAAAGGATTACTATCATCAACTATTTCAGCATCTTCACCATAATGCTTTTTCTTTTTTATAAAGCGTTTTGGTTTTGAAGAAAATGATGGTTCAATCTCCATGTCAATGGCAATTTGCATAGCTTCAGCTTTTGCTTTCTCAAAACCAGTTTCTCTGTAGCCTTTCAAGTAACCAACAAGCCCTTCTAACTGCAAAATAGCAGCCTCAAGATCCATATCCTCTGATTGTAAAGATTTGCTCACTGTATTGACAACATAAAGCAAATCATACCAAATGACCATTCCAAACAAGAATTCAAATCTTCCAATTCCATGTGTTTCACTTTCTGCAAAACACTCAGCATCACTACGATGTCCAAGATTGTCACTATTCTCTGCTATGTAAAATCAAAAAAGTCATCTGCTCTTTACGACTAATATCAGGAGTAGAATCCAAAATGACTGAAAAATATTTTGCCTCTTGGATTTTCTTTAAAATTACCATCTTAATCTCATTAGCAATTAATTCTATCAGCTCATTCTGAATCTTATGACTAAGATAATGATATTGAGTTTCACCTTTGTCTATTCGTCGCATATGCTCCTTCATTACTTCATCAAAGCCTCCAATCATCTTAATAAAAGCCAAGAAATTTCCAAAGTTTGGATCAGTGACTTTTTCGTTCTCTCCACGAAATGCTAAATTTCTTTCTGCTAGAGTCTTTACCACTGCAATTATCCTCAACATCACATCTCTCCAATGTTTCTTCTCTTTGTTAATTGCCTCCTCTAAATGCTTGTCAATAGTTTCACTTTTTTTCAGCCTCATCCCTAGCTCAATCCAGCGGCTGATGCAAACAATATGATTGTAACTAGTTTCATGATTTTTCAGCCTATGTGAAGCATTCCTCCAGTCATCATATCCAGTAGTTACCAAAATAGGAGGGAACTTTTCTTGAGTGAATAATTTACAGCAAAAGCAAAAGATTTTATCTTTAGATTTTGAGTAAACTAACCATCTTCTGTCTTGTCTCTCTCCATTACTCATTCTTCTTGTATAACATGAATAAGTGAAACATCTTCCAATACCATCTTTTGGAAAAGGATAATCAATCGAAGGTCTTGTAGGTGGACCTTTTTCAACCAAATAATCTCTCATTCTTTGTTCAATTTTTTTCCAGTTCCCAAGATCATCCATATCAACATCTTCAGAGAAGCTTCTAATATCATCAACTTTCTCTTGGGATTCCATGTTTTCTTTTTCAGATTGTTCTTTGTCCATATTCATACAATCTTCATCATCTTTAGCAGTTTCTTCTTCACTCTTCTCATCATCTTCTTCAAAAACAAACTCTTCATCTTCTTTGTCTATTTCAGTGTTAGAAGTTTCATCAGCTTTAGTTCTAGTGACGTACTTAAGCATAGCATTAGCTTGAGATTTGATAAAATCATCTTGTCTAGCCTTTTTCGCCCTGTTCTTAGCTCCACTTGATTGATTTCTTATTCTATTTCCTGGAAGCATTCTCTACAAATCAAAAATATCACAAAGAAAACCATAATTTAGACAACAGAAGCCAATACAATACATTATACATATGCTAGAACAGAAAATAAGTAAACATATTTTAGACAAATTTCAGAATTTTCTACAAAATTGACGAAAACCAAAGAAACAAAGAAAGATGAAAAACTTACATAGATCAAGAGATACACCTGTTACTCAAAAGTTAATAATGGAAGATCCACAGTAGGATTATTGATCGGCAGAGAAGAATAAAAAAAGAAGTTCAATAAAACGTGATTGATATTTGCTAGGTTAAATAAATTAGATAGTTATTGTAATTTATGTGGTTTTTGGTTTAATCATTTAATATAATATATAAGGAAAATAAAAAGTTAGAAAAATGTAACAAGCTCTACGATCAGAACTTTACTTATTATAAATTATAGTTAATGGAAATTTGTCTTTATTATGAAAAAAAAATACATGAAGACACCTCGAACCCGCCCATAGAGAACTTTTGACAATATACAGAAACCACTAGACTAATGAAACCTCGCTGTACATGGTGCCCCTAACATTTTAATAAATCTTGGCGCCCGAAGCCCTTGCTTCATGGGCTTTAGCCCAGGGCCGACCCTGATTATATACATCGAATATATATATGCTTGATACACAATTTTGCATTAGCTAAATATGGGAATTTATATTGACTGCTAAAAAAAACTTTGGCACCAAGTAATGCATTGCCCAAGACGATGAATAATACATAACCAGGATAAGATTTGCGCCTTGCGCATGATAAATTAACATTTTGGTCTTTAATTTTTTTTTTGTTAATTACATAATTTGTTAATTGTTGAACTGGTCTCTTTTTTAAAAAAAATGTTTTAGGTCAAAATATCACTTACCGCAAAGAACCTAATGTTTAGGTCAAAAAATCTCGGATCTATTTGGTTACAAGGAAACTATGCCAACTCGGTTTTATATCATAATTTATCAATTTAAAAATTAATTATGGGTATGAAAATTTGACGTTAATGTGTCAATTCTATCTACCTTCAGTATTTTTCTTTTTTTGTGTCTTTTATTCATTTTGGTTATTGCTCGATAAAAATATTGATTTTGAAATTTATTCTTATTTCGTTTGTTTGTTTTGGCCTAAGATTTAGATAATGCTTAAGATTTAAAATAACTAAAGAGATACATACTTAGGTTATCATCTACACTTTTTGCAGAATAATAAGTATTTTATAGTTATTAATTATTTTATGTTATGTGTGTATTATGAAATAATAAAATAAAATTAACATAAAACCTATTAAAATAAAATTATTTCTTCATATGCTCTTATAATAATTGTATCTTAGTATAGAAAAAAGTTAAACTGTGATAATAAAAGCTTATGTGAGAATTTTAACAGTTTTACTAATTTATAATCGTTTTGAAAAATTTGATATACAACATACACAAAAAATCTAAATTTTTATTAATGATTAATGTAATTTTGTAATTTATTTTCATAATGAAGAAATAAAAAATGATAAAAAGTATACAGATTGTTATCGTTTAAAATCATTAATTGATATATATTTATTTTAATCACATTAGTAATTCCATAGGTTTTATTTAAGAAAAGCCTATAATAAATATTTGAGATATGCGACCAACTATAGTCTGCGAAATATTATATTGTTAGAGAGTACAATTTTTAGACTATAGTTTATATAAGGTGCTCTATAGTCCTTCTAAATTGAATTATAAGGCATAGAGAGCTACCACGTAGGATGTAGTTATCTATACTATTAAATGTAAAGTCATCCTTGAAAAATCGACTGATGGAAGTTGTGTGCACCCTCATTAATGACATTTTGGTAATTTATTTTCTGCCTTACATCTACATATATATCGATTTGTTACTAATCATATCACATATTGCATCTACCCGAATTATTCTCTCTCTCTTTCCATTAATTACTCTAACCATATTTGATTTTATATTTACATTTATATTACCCGGGTTATACAAGGGAA